TGTAAGTCCTCACGGGAAATCTCTGCTTCCGCAAAAACACCATGACAACATCATCGACCTGGAACACCTTGGAGTGCCTATGCTTGTTTGTCGCAGCCTTGTACTTTGCATTAGTTTGCTCTAAGCGCTCTCGGACTTCATCTTTAGCGGCTTGAACTTTCTCCGCCATGTGGTCAGTGGCTACACTCAAACTAGGACCCCTAGGAAGTTTCACGAGGTCCACCACTCAAACTAGGACCCCTAGGAAGTTTCACGAGGTCCACCACTCAAACTAGGACCCCTAGGAAGTTTCACGAGGTCCACCACTCAAACTAGGACCCCTAGGAAGTTTCACGAGGTCCACCACTCAAACTAGGACCCCTAGGAAGTTTCACGAGGTCCACCACTCAAACTAGGACCCCTAGGAAGTTTCACGAGGTCCACCACTCAAACTAGGACCCCTAGGAAGTTTCACGAGGTCCACCACATGCTTTGGAATAATAGTATAAACCAAAGAAAAGGGGGATTTACCGGATGCACTGTGTACGTTACTATTGTACACAAATTCAATATGCATAAGGGCTAAGTCACACTGTTTTGGTTTATCACTACAAATATTGCGAACCATGTCGCCTAGAGTTTGATTGGTAACCTTCGTTTGTCCATCCGATTGTGGATGTGCGGTACTACTATGATTCAAAGAAGTGCCAAACAGTTTCCATAAGATGATCCCTTATTCCAAGCTCCCCCTTATTCGGGGACTTGGGGGACTATAGGACTATCATCGGCAATCACGGAGAAATGGCTAAATCTCTATATCTGGGTCTGGGTCAGAATGCCAAAGACAAGTACAAGTCCCCAACCAAGAAGTCCCTTCTCAATCGGGAACTTAGGGGACTCCTGTTTGTACCATATCTAACCCGCCTCTTGTGCCATGACACGTGGAAGGGGTATGATACTAAGGAAGGCCCCATGGCCTGCTCTGGCGAGCCCATTCGTACGAATCGGTAGGTCCCTTCGGCACCCACGACCGATTCTACACCCAACATGGCCCACGGCCGGCAAGTGCATTTGGCATGCCTTGCTGATTCTGTGCCTTAGAAGGCATCTTGTAGGACGTTCTCGAATTCCTCGCTAAGATATTTGCTAGGATGCGTGTCAACCTCGGAAGACACTCTCACGAGTCCCACATCGAAACTAAGTACCAAGAGAACACCCATCACCCTTTATAAATAGAGCCTCTCACCCTAGATACAGGGTAAGACTTTCTACTTGACACTTATGCTCTTGCATTGTCGATAGCTTGCTCTCCTCCCCTTAAGCTAACTTTAGCATCGGAGGACCTTCGGCCGATACTACACCGGTGCCTTGGGTCCCATATGCTATTTTCTCTCATCGTCGAAAATCCAACACCGCCAGCCAAAGATGAACGTACTTACTATAGGCACATCCGATCCCTCGACTGTCCACCTCACTTGTAAGTTGCTCTTATCACTATATGTTTAGTTTTTGCGCCAGCAAACAATAATATGAGCATGAAACTAATAAACTCATTGTTTCATACACATTGTGTTTTAGTTCAATTTATATTGGAGACATTAGTTGAAGGATTCCCTTTTTATTTTATTCTATGTTATTATAAAGAGAAAAAAAGGTCACATTTCCTCTTTTTACATTCGATTGAAAGGAGAATAAAAGGTGTTAACTTCTAACTTTACTAGTAGAAATGATTTGACTTGTACATAATGGAATTACTTGTAGGATGACTAAGAAAGCCTAGAAGGGGTGAATAGGCCAATTTAAAATTATAATCAATAAATAAAAATAAACTTCAATAGCAGGATTGATATGGCTTATCAATCTTGGAAACATGCAAAGCATAAATAAAGGAACATGCAGAGAATTATTTTATGTGGTAAAATCCCACCTATGGGGAAAATCCACGAGACTCCTTAGTCTAAAACAAATCCGCTATAAAATGATGATTACAAGAAGTACTCACTTATCCTAGACACATTCTAGATAATGTTTACTGACTTCTTCGTAACTCAACTTCTGTTACGGGATGATCTTTAACTTCAATAGCAGGATTGATATGGCTTATCAATCTTGGAAACATGCAAAGCATAAATAAAGGAACATGCAGAGAATTATTTTATGTGGTAAAATCCCACCTATGGGGAAAATCCACCGATTGGTGCCCTCAATCGTATAAGTCACCGAACATGCAAATGAATGCAATATGAATGATAAAAGTGTTTGATAAATCACTAAGTAAACATGGAACACTTGATGATTTATGTAAAATAAAAACACAGTTTTCTTAAACATTTAAGCGCACAAAATTATTGTTCAAAAGTTGTGCTAGAAGAAAAACATCAAGCCTTATTTTATATAAGAAATGCCAACACAATTTCATACTAACACATAACTTACAGTTTGAATATCTCCCTTCTTCTCTTCTTTGCATCCAAAAAAAAATATTGCAAAAGAAGAACATTCTCTGCCGGCCAAAAATTCTAGTGTGAACAACCAAGGTGGTTGGTGTGAGTGGTTCGGCACTCTCATTCCTTAAGAGAGGTCAGGGGTTCGATCCCTGCTCTCGTACGGAGTCACCATTTTGGCCAACACTTTACTCCTTACGGGTCGACCCAGTGAGGATTAGTCTGGGTTGTGGTTAAGGCTTAAAGGTGCCACCCATAGTTGGGGCCCATCCAGGACCACCTCATGGTTCAGACAAAAAAAAAAAAATCTAATGTGAACGTATTACTGGAAAAATAATAAAAAGTAGCAGCCAAATGGCGTTGGGACTTTTGGACTAATAAACTAATAGAAGGTAGCAGCCAATTGGTTCTTGTCTTCTCGACATAAAAAAAAAAAAAAGAAAAAAAGAAAAAAAAAAGCATCTTGTCTTCTAGAAGAAATTATTTTTTTAAAAATGCAATCAATTATTATCTTTCGACAGTGGAAAAATCTTGACTAAGCACATGAAATGATCCACTCTAATAAGTGGTCAATTTTTTTATATTTATTTTATTGAAAACCAGCGATTGAATTATTTGAGCAAAATTCATGTCTCAACTCAACACATCTGTTACAATTTCGGGTGGCTCTCTCCGAACCCTGCGGAGCTCTCAAATACCAAATCGACAAAAATGAACTAATCTATCGGTCACTGGATTGAACTCGTGAAACACGTGATATAATTGAACATGAGACAGCTGCGACAGAAACAGACGACAGTTCGTAGTATTTTACTGTAAAAATGGCCTGCAATCTTGCTGGTTCCGAACAGCATGCGCCTCAATTTTATTGTAACATTGTACCTGGATTTCTTTTGGGTTTTTTTCTTGGTGATGAATAATGATGATTGGGATTGACGGGCCCACCTGATGGACGAAATTTCATAGAATCTTCTGAAAAAAAAAAAAAAAAACTTAATAATTTAGTCTTTTTGACGTGGAAATGGAAGAAGACGCACCGTATATTTAATAGGACAGATTCATGTTCTTGAAAAAAAAAATTTGTGCGGGTCTTAAAGTGGATTAGTCATGCATGACGTTTTCTTTTTGTTCTAATGTTGACACGGTCCGCAGATTGCTATTAATCTTCGATTAAAAACAATATGTTAAGGGTACTGATTTTCTCACTCTCTTTTTATTCACTTACATTCCATTTTTTATTATATATAAATTGTATATTCTCACTCTTCTTTTGTTCACTTACACTCTCTTTTATTTTATAATAAAAAGTATTAAAAAAAATAAAAAAGAGTGTAAGTTGATAAAAGGGAAGTCGGAAAATCACCACTTTTTTTAGTGGATATTAATAAAGTTTCTAATACTATTTGGAAAAGTGGACATGTTTCTTAGTCTACATACATTTGGCCAGACAAAACGCATTCACCAACTTCTTAGTGGAGAAACAACAACCTTATTCACCGCCAGAGACAAATTATCTATTTTCACTTTCAACACCTTATTGCATATATCTCTAATGTGGGCCCTGCCAAAACGAAAAACAACAGACAGAAAAACAAACGATAAATTAGGGAAACACACCTATAAAGTACATTGGTATTGTCCCATGATTTTCGTGATTGCAGACAAAAGTGCTTTTCTCTGTTTTGGTTATGTTGTTCTTGGAAACATAAATTGGTATATCCTGTTATGTAGCAGAAGAATTTGTGCATAAATTGGTATATCCTGCTTTGTAGCAGAAAAACTTGTGTAATCATGAAAAGTCAAGTGAAAAAGTTATCACGTGTGACATACTGTGATTAGTTGGATATAGCAAAATAGTGATATTCTCATTTCACACGAGTGTTTCTCCTTCTGTAGGGTTTATCAACACCAATACACATTATTTACTTACACTGCTCCACGTTTCCAGAAAACCATGTGGTTCTGTAGGTGATGCTTTAGCTTTATGCTTAAAAGCTTCAGGAAGGTGTTAATCACTGTAATGCCTAAAAGTCTCCAGATTGTCATGGATGAATAGCTTTATAAACAACAACGGTCAGTCAGATTTCATCTACTCACACAGGCGACTGACAGTAACATTCCTCTAACGGACTTCCAAGTCCACAGCTAGCATAGGGAATGTCATATATTAATTATTATACGAAAAATCCATGTTTGTCCTGTTAGTCCCACGGCAATCGTTACCTTTTTCACAATCTACAAGCATATCAATTTCATGATGATCGGAGATAGCAAGAAAATAAGAATCAAAGTTCGGCATCAACTTCGTTTCCTTCTCTTTGGAAACGGTTGATATACATTGTTAACTCAACGGTTAATAACTTAAGCTTTCGAGATTCAATGGTAGTCAAACATGGTATCAAAGCTCTGAAAGCAAGAGGTTCGGGGTTCGAAAGAACCGAAACCTCCAAGTCTCGTTTTTCCATTCAGTTAACTTGTAGGGTAAAGGATGCAGTTATTTGTTTTTTGATCTAACACAAAACTCTTCATCCTTTGACGAAACAGAGACAAGCTTTGGCACCAATAGAAGACAGTTTATGACCTCTAAATCACAACTAAAAGAACCTGAATTTTAATTTACCAAAATGCTACATGTCCAAACCCAAATATATATACATACTTGTGCGCACATTTCTATACCAATTCTTCACGTGTGTATATTACATTGGTCTTCAGGGCTTTTCTTGTTCTTCTGAGTTTGACAAGGATAGGCACCTGCAAGCACACATTTGGAGCACGTTACAACAGCTAGTATGGAAAAATTATCAATAACTTGCCTAATCAATCATTTACACACAGACCAATGTCTAAAACATTGCCATTTACAATACACAATACAATAGCTGCCAAGAAAAAAACAGAACAAAAATGGAAAGGAAAACGATGATGAACTGTCTTTATAAATGTTGCTGTTACATTGAATCACAGCACAACATGAGACATCAAACTTGCATTTGAGAAATCCAAAAGAGCATGTTCGCCAGACAACACAAGTTGATGCAATTATGATCAGGGACTATCAAACAATCTGCTCAATGCTCGGACAACACGATATAGGACAAGTAAATAAAGAAATTATGTATGCAGCAAAAAATATCATAATAATTTTTTTGAACTCGGACTTGAAACTGGGCACAGCGGGTGGGGAATGGGGTGTGTGGAATCCTACAATGAAGGAAACTCTAGAAAACAGCTAGATAGTTACATTGAAGAATTGAACCCCAGACAATGTGGGAGCAAACCACAGGCCTAATCAGTATAGTATTTTCGCAATCAATACTAAACAAGTGACACAATATCCATTGCTTGGAACAAAGTTCCTTCAGATAGCTATAACATAAGAAGGGCAAGGTCCTTCAGAATTGAACCCCAGACAAAAATATATACATGTATAAATGAATAACAGAACTGCTTCTGAGACAAACCAAAACGATACGGCTCTTATCGAAAGAAAAAGAAGTTGATATGACACATTCATGCTCTTTACTTTTGGCAATATGGAATAAAACCCAATGATAGAATTCAAATGATCTGAGAGGACTTGAAATCTCCTTTCAACGGAGGATAATAGTATAGAGTAGCTACCGGATAGAGGACAAAAAGATTACAGTAGGATCCTTTCATGCTGCTCAATAACCTATTCTAATGGTTTATGCAGGTGAAGTTGACAAACCAATTAAAACATCAACCACAATGTGGAAAACAAGATATGAGAACCTTTTTCCTTCTTTAAATGTTTTTTCGGGTTTAGAAAAATTTATGCACGAAAAGCAACAGCATATATGCTTTCTCAAACAGTAATAATGACTATTCTGTTTCTCTAATTATGGAAAAACATGCATAACCAAATAAAGCCAAATTCCTTCCAAAATGTGATTTGCGCCTTACATCAATCAGAGTATGGGCAGCAGGTTGTCCCAAATAACTTTTAAGCAAAAGTTTTACTTGTTCTGCAATCTGATTCCGGAGAGAAAAAATTCCTGTTCTGCTGTGAAGGTGATGACGAAGAAGGACTATGCACCCCAGCCTTACGAAGGTCTGGTTTGTAGCTCTGTGAGGCCAAATACTCAAGTGCTACAACAATATCGCCAATAAGAGGACGGAAAGTTGGTTGCTCTTGAAGACACATGGCAGTAATGGCAACAGCATGATGCAAACAACGAACAGGGAAGCGTCCTTGCAACAGAGGATCAACTAACTGAACAAACTTCCTCCGGTCCTTCAAAAATGGACGAGACTGCATTTATGAAAACAAAGGTGTTTGAAAAGGATATCAAGAAATAATCATAAAAACATTGTTTCCAATAGGAAACTGTAGCAATTCCACAAAGGTATATGAAATTCAAAATCTGACTGTCAAGAAAGCAAGATAAAAAGGGAAATAGAAAGATACTCACCCAAGATACTAGGTTCTGTTCTCCTGCCCTCTTAGAGCAGTCAATGGCCTTCTTCCCAGTAAGAAGCTCCAACATAACCACGCCAAAGCTATAAATATCAGATTTAAGTGTCAATTTTCCACTCATGGCATATTCTGGTGCACAGTACCCATACGTTCCCATCACTCTCGTTGAAACATGAGTTTTGTCACCCACAGGTGCAAGTTTAGCAAGCCCAAAGTCTGAAAGCTTTGGATTGAATTGATCGTCCAGAAGTATATTTGCTGATTTCAAGTCACGATAGATAACTGGTGGGTTAGCTTTGCAGTGGAGATATTCCAGGCCCCGTGCTGCACCAACAGCTATCTTAATACGAGTATCCCAACTCAACGGCTCTCGATCAGGACTCAGATCTGAAAACATAAAGTTCCACATCTGTTAGGTCAAATACAATGGAAATATAATAATAAAGAAAAGAGGCTGCTAAAGAAAGATTATATGATTTATTTAGAGGTTATCCAATGTTTCCTTAAGCCATCCTCAATAGCAGGAAAGGTATCACTGAAGTTGAGTTAAGATATTGCTTCCGTAAATTAATAGAAAGCCAACATACCAAAAAATAAAAAGTTAAATAGAAATCCAATTCAATGATTCAAAATTCAATTTTCTACACTATTCCTGTCAACCAACGTTTTTGATGTAAAACACCCATACTTTCCCAATGTGATAAATATACAGCCATTTTATGGGCACCTAAAAGAACCAGGCTATCAATAGACACAAGGGACTGTATAAGAGGAAAATAAATCAATTAGAAACTATAAAATGGATAAGAACGTACTGTTCTTAACCATCAATATACTTACCAAAAAGATGATCTTCCAAACTACCCCTTGGCATGTACTCATAGACTAAGAGTCTTTGATCTCCGTCAGTACAGTAGCCAATCAATGTGACAAGATTAGTATGATGTAGTAGGCTTAACATGAGAACCTCCACAATGAATTCTTGAAACCCTTGAAGACCGTCATGATTAAGTTGTTTAATTGCGACCACCTGGTCATAGAAATCAAAAGTTGCACCACATAAACATTGAATTCAACATAGTCCAACAAATGATATGTGGACAACATCTGGCGGCTCAAGTTTTCATCCATCTAATGAAGGATATAAGGAAAGATATTAATTCTGTAAAATAATAAATTTTGCTTTCATCGATAACCAGCAATACATATCACAGTGCATAACAGTTTCCTTATAAAATTTCATACAACTATTAATGGAGTAACGGTAATACGAACGTGGTAAAAAGCCCTGCAACTTACCTGGCCTGCATCAAGCCGGCCTTTGTAAACCCTTCCAAAACCTCCTTCCCCAATCAAATTCACTTCCCTAAAGCCTTTCGTGGCTGCTGCAAGTTCGCGAAATGTGAAACTACGAGCCACACTTTGCTGCGTGTTGTTACCACCCTTTCCTTTTCCCCTCCCACTCTCTGCACATACATAACATAACTCAACTCCTACACAACTCAATTTCACAAGCACAGGAAAAAAATATATACTGAAGTGAAGTTCAAAATTTCATATGATGTGTGTTAAATTTCCAACAATAAAATCAGAACTGAGTGGAGTAAACAGCTGAATCTCAAATTACACAAAACTAGGATCACAATTGTACCAAACAAAAAATTCCAATTCAGAAAAATTCTAAATTTTCATGAAATGGGTACTTACCAGTATCATCAGAGTGCCCTCTCCCTCTCCCACTACCTGCAATTTCGGCCAAAAAACACTTACATTCAACAAATCAAACCCCAAAAAATAAATTAAAAATCCAATTGGGTCAAAAACTAAAACTTAAAAGAGTAATTGGCAGACCTGAGGATCGAGTGCCATTATCAATTTCGACCTTGCTGACATCTTTCCGGCGAGGACTGAAGCAACTAAAGCAACTCATACCTTACGCTTCCATGTATATAACTAATCATACAAAAAAACTAAAAAACAAAAACTCTAACCCTCATCTACAAACAGATAAGCTTTTGTCCTCTCTCTCCTCCCCGGCCGGAGAGATTCAGAAGGCGAAACCTTTCCGCGCTCCCGACAACAAAAAATTCCCAACAAATATAAACCCAACTGGATATGATTTTAGATTTAGATGCTAACCATTAATATCAACCAAAAATATCAAATAAATTGACAGAAATAGCAAATCATTAAATAAACTGCCCAATTAAATTAAATTAAAAAACTATCAATTCGCCGAATTGGCATTTTTGGAAGGAAATGGAGGGCAAAAACGATATAAAATAAATAAATTTGACAACGCGTACAGCAAGAAAATGGGTTTTTACGCTAAATTTTGACAAGTGAGCCCAGCTCTGTGCTGCAAGTTAACGCATTTAGCGGTGGCCTAAAATAACAACTGGATTTTAGGTTCCAATTTCTAATTTTTATTTCACAAGAAATTAAATTTTCATAAGTTTTAATAAATAATTTCTGACGTGGGTCCCATGAACCGGTGCTGTGTTTTTGGGGCTCTGAATACTTTGCATTTATGGTTTCTTCCAAGTACTCTCTCTCCATCGTTATCACTCTGATTTCTCTTCTCGCATTTAAACGTTCCGGTTGGCTACTGGTTTGATATTACGTTGTTGCCCTTGTGGTTTGGTTGAATTTACCGTTGTTGACACTGACATTGAGCAAGTTTCGGATTCAACTGACTCGTTTTTTTTCCGACCGACATTGGATTCCGATTCGTTGCTTCTTTATACGCGAAAAGGCCTCAGTGCGATGTCGTATCCTCATCCATTTCTGCTACCGCGTGGGCTACTCCTGAAATTATGTGGGCCTAATTTATTATTTTATTTAAATTCTTTTTGTTTTGTAATAAAGACTCCATTTTGTAGGCTAGACGAATTGGATATAATAAATTGGACTGATTGGGATTTGACTGGATTTTAAGCAGTTGTTTGGTGCAGTAACACCAAGTTGAGATTGTAAGACTGAAACAAAAATAGCAAAATTTAAAAAATACAAATAAATTTATGAAAATTATAATAATGAAGACAATTCTCGAAATGCAATTTGACTAATCTACCAACAAGAATCGTGCTTCAAATCAAATCTCAAAAACAAGGCCTCCTTCAAATCAGATCTAAAAAACAAGCCTCTTTCCCATCAAATCTCAAGAACAAGGCCTCATTCAAATCATATCTCAAGAGCAATGCCTCCTTCAAATGAGCCGAAAGCTTGGCCAGATCGATTGGAAGCTACGACGATTTATGCGACGTCGATGTTGTTGCAGTTCCTCAAGGCCATGGTGTTGAGCTGGCTGACGAAGTTGGGAGGAGGATAAGATGGGAGTGCTTTTGAAACAGCATCGACGCATCGACCTGAAGATATGGCAAAGGGGAAGAGATTGAGAGAGAAGAAGAGAGAAGGCAACAAACCAAACTAGAGGTGTGCTCTCTCTCGCAAGACGACTCAGTTGGCTTCAAAACCCAGGTCTACTGATGGATTCTGGAGCCTATCTTATTATGTACTGGTGTCTAATAACCACATCCAATCCCTGATGCATATTAAGCCCACCAAACAATGGCTAGGACCATGTCCGTTTTAATTGAATAAGTCACATCTAGTCCAGCCCACCAAACAGGACCTAAGGGCTCGTTTGGTACGTCGAACTATACTAACTAATTTTTGTCATATAGTATTAATTTGTTTCGGAGAGTACTGACTGTTTATCTATAATATTATAAGGCATTTAGTGTAGTTCTGGATAAACAATCTATGTCTTTGTCTTCTTCCCCTCGAGCTTTGCACACTAGGCATCCTACCCAGGTGCGGCCAAAACAGTGGCATTTTAATGATGGGTTGGGAAATCGGCCGATTTGTTTGTTGGTTTCATAGAAGGTGGGGTGGGAATTTGATGGGATCGGATAAGAAACAGGTGTTGAAGTGTGTAGGTTTCAGGTTGTGAATCAAATATTCGAGGTCGATGGAGAGAGAGTGGTAAGCGAGCTATGGTTGTTAGGTGGGGCGTAGAGTTTGGGGTCGGGGCTGAGGGAGAAGAAATCGCGGGGGGGTGGTGTTGATGGTTGCAGGATAGAGGTTGAGCAGAGAGAGAAAGAGAGAATTTTTTTTATTTAATTTTTTGGGTTTTTTTAATATTCTATTCATATTTTAATCAATTTTAAAATTTAAAAAATTTAAAAAATTTGGGACCCATAGTACCACATAGGTAACTAACGGAGAGATCTTATGGAAAGCCTAATAGTGGAATCACATTGTAACAAATTTAAAAGACCTGGGTATGTTATTGTAAAAATTGAGAATGTAAGGACTAACATGTCTTAAGGGTGTAATCACAGGATACTAAATTGTAATTAACCCTTCTTTTTTAGGATAATGGATAAGCATTTAAAGACCCTTGCTTTGATAGTCATGGTAATAATGACCTCACAACCAAGCTTGACAAGTTGTTCCTCTTTATCAACTCCATGAGCTCAACCTAGAATTCTATCTAGGAAAGATTAGTCCATCCTGGCTAAATCCCATCTCACTTCCTATATTGAGCCCACCTCCACATAATTAAATATTCTAATAATTTAAAATAATTTAAAATAAAAATAAAAACATAAAAAACTACATTAAACAATTCTTTTAAAAAAATTAAAATTAAAAATTTTAAAATTAGAGAGAAAAAAAATCCCCACTCTCTCATTCTCTTCCTCTCTCTCCTCCTCTCTCCCTCCCTCTCTCTCTGCCTCTAGACGCACCCCATCCTCCGACCATCTTCTCAAAAACAAAAGTCCCAAACAGTCGCCGACTAGTCCCGTCTACGACATATGCCCAGCCACCACCTCCTACAACAAATCTGATCCAAACCCCCACCCAATCACCCAACCCACAACACACACCCAGAACTTGAAAATTTTCTCTAGAAATTTCAGCAGCCCCACCCCTCTCTCTCTCTCTCTCTCAATTTCATTTCCTCATCCTCTCTCCCTTCTCTCAATTCCCACCATCGATTTCTTCTTAGCTCCCTAATCAAAGAGGTTTTGTGAGGTGGGTCAGGGCTACTGGGTTTGAGGGTTCGGGAGGTGCGCAGGTGGGGGAGATCAAGGTGGAGCTGTGTGGGTGGGGAGGCGATTGGGGGCTGGGTTTGTAGGGTTTATACGCAGGGGAGGGGGCTCTATTTATTAAAATGATTTTTTTTTTCATTTTATATGTCATATTATTTTATTTTACAGTATTTAATTATTTTTAATATATGAAATGACCAATTTGCCCTCATATTTAACGGCAAATTGGATGAAATGTTGATGATTTAGACGGCAGGGGGAACATTGATAATAAAATTTAATTCGAGCCCTTAATTCACTAAAAAAAAAGGTCATGGGGTAAATTGATAGTTATGTACAAGTTCAGGGGGCAATTCGGCAGTTTACCCTACATTTAAAATATTAAAAAATGTCCTTGGTTAAGGTGTAGAGATATTTGATAAAATCCGAGCAGTTCTAGTAAGATTTATAATATAAAAACAGTGAAGATAACATGAATTGAAATTATTGTAATTGAAATAGAATTGAAAAACAAGAACAAGAACATAAAGGCATAATTGAAATCTTCGGAAACTAGAGCGGAAAAAATAAGAACTAGGCTATGGCTACATTATGCTACTCCTAGGATAGAAATTGAAGAGAATGTAAAATGACAAGTTGTGTGTTGGGTCGGGGGTCCTTTCTCTCTTCCATAAGCTTGGTATTTATAGGGGCTTCGGTGCGTCTCAATTTGGTCGGTCGTCAATTGGCCTTCAAATCAATCATAATTGCTCCAGAATATCTTTAATCCCTTGTCTCATGCCTGTGATTTAATATGAGTAATAATATTTGATTTGATTTTCCTTCCATCTTGAGCTCTCCCACAATAACTTCGGTTGACCATCAATCTGGCATAATTCCTTCTATATTTGAATTGTAACCTATGAGAAAATCCTCCTACGGATCATCTCTCTCCTTATTTAAACATTGGCTGATTTCACGTATTCGGCCGCTTTTAGTCATTCGATCGTATCTACACTTTCGGCCGCATATAGGCTTTCGACCACTTTTATGCTCTTGGCCGTATTGATATGCTCGGCCAGATTAATGTATGCAGCCACATGTAGATTTTCTGCAACATGTAGATATTCGGCCACCTTTATGATTTTGGGCTTCTATCCGACCTTATTGATTAGGCCCACTGATTGGGCTCAATGTTAATTTAATTGTCGGATCTCGGGCCTGACCCGGTCAAATTTCAACCAGGCCCAAACAGTACTACATAGACTAAAAGGGTGCAAGCATAAGCTCAAAGCCATTTGCAATACTATTACTATATCTCCTGCAAATCAATAGATACAGATAGACAATTTTGAAATTCAACATTCCATTGCATGCGCAAAACAATATAAAATCTAACGCTATAGCCATCCAATCAGATCCCATAAGAACCTATCGAGTTATCAACTAACGATAACATCTAACCCTCATGTGTCAAACACCGTAAACAAGGCTTGAAACCTACTTCCATTTCCTCCTTCTCTCACCCTCCTTTCAAACCCATTTCCCACTGTTGATTTCTTCGCAACGCCCCAATCAAAGAGGTGCTCTGGGGTGGGTCGGGGCTACTGGGTTTGAGGGTTGGGGAGGTGCGCAGGTTGGGGAGATTGAGGTAGGGCTATGTGGGTGGGGAGGCGGTTGGGGAATGGGTGGGTAGGGTTGATACACAGGGGAGGGGAAGAATGTTGCTGGGTTTGATTGTTTTTAATTTAACTTTTTTAATTGAAGAATTATTTATTATTTTTTTCCACATGGTATCCATGTGATTAAAAATTTGGGCTCCACTTGCCACATCACCCACTCAATTAGTGGATAATGATTCATGCGTAGGAAATTACAAAAACAGCCTTGCCACGTCATCAAAGTTAACATACTTTTGAATGGAGTTGATGGTAGAGGGTAAAGTGGGTGACCAAATCTCGGTCAAGCGGGGTAAGTGGGCCACTTTAAGTTTGAGGGGGCAATGTGAGATTTGATCGTTTTTTCTGGGCGAATTGGTGTAAATAAACCTGTATAAAATAATAATTTTTGTTTTTCAAGTTTCAATTTTTAAAACCCAAACAATAATCTAGCCATTTTCTATTTAAATGTACTTTAAATAAAGTTATTGGCCTCTTTTTTCAACAAATAATAATTCTTGTCACTATATACTTAATTGTAAAAGATATTTAAATGAAGTTGTAAAAAAAAATTACAAAAAAAAGAAGCGATACTTATGTCAAATTTGGCACATAAGCCACAATGGCCCAACACGAACATGGCCCGATCCCATATGGTCTAGGGTCGTGGGCTTGGCCAGGATTGATGATTTTC